TGTGTTTTTATTCTTCATTACATTTTTTTTGTCTTCTGGCCTATATTTGCAGATGAAATATAGAGAACGTGTACGTGGGTTGATCCTTGTTTCCCCTGTATGCAAAGCACCTTCATGGACTGAATGGCTTTATAACAAGGTTAAAATTCCTATCATCAATGAACACTTGTAAAATGTTCAATTTTCCATTATACATAACATTAACTAGGCTATTTTGTGCATCTGTCAATGCAAGCATTAATTACAAACAAATGCTACAAATGTCACAATCCAAGTGCATGGTGAATGGATTTCCAGTCCCAGACATTTTGGATTTGGAGAATCCTTATATTTTCATGGCCATCCGAGAAGTTGGCATAAGATAACTTTGTTTTTGCAGGTATTATTGAACTTGTTATATTTCTATGGAATGTGTGGTTTATTAAAGGAATGCCTTCTCCATCGCTACTTCAGTAAGGTAATTCATGTAGCCTTAATTTGTGGCTTACTTTCTGATTTGGTGAACTTAATAATAATCCTAGAATTCCTACCAGGAGCTTAGGTCTAGCATGAATGGTGCAGAATCAGATGTAATACAAGCTTGTCGAAGGGTAAGCTAAAATCAGCTATAACGTAATATGATTTCTTATTGTTTTCTGTCTGAAAGAGTATCTAATGGCTTTAGTTTCTAGGTCGTAAAAATGACTAAGTGAAATCATATTTTCAGCAGTTGCACAGAAGGGGTATTTTCTTCTTACCATTTTCCTTCTTCCATTTGTTTGAGGGAGGGAGGGATGAGAGTCCATTTGATTGATGTGACTATTCAATTTGTAATATTTTGCCACTCTAAAGGTGGGTTTTTTAGTTACCTTGATCTATATTTGGTGCATGAACTAGTTGGATTTGCTTGGCGCAACGATAAGGTTGCTCCAAATGTGACTTGGGTGTCATGGGTTTCAAACATGGGAACAACCTCCCTATGCGCAGGGTAAGGCTGCGTACATCAGACTTTTCCCCAAACCCTGTCGACTCTTCCCCAAACCTTGTAATGACGGGAGCCTTTCCCCCCTTGTGTATTTGTTTATTTTAACCCAGTTGAATTTGTTGAAGGATGATACCTGCTTGGTTTGGTATTCATAACACATTCAAATGTTATATATATTTGCATGGTCCATCTTTTATTTTACATCTAAAAACAGGCAACCTTTTAATTCTTCTCTATTGCATCCTAGTCGATTTTGAGGTGCTTACAAACTGAAAAAGACCTTCATCATTTTTTCCTGTGTACAGTTACTAGACGAAAGGCAAAGTTTGAATGTCATGCGCTTTCTTCAAGCAATGAATGAGTAACTTCTTGCACCTATACTATATTTTTCATTTGTTCAGTTTATCGTATTGTTCTTTGCAATGTTTGTGCATAAAACAATTCTGCCCTAGATTTTTCCTTTCTTTTGGAACACATTTTGTTCTCCTACTTAGAAAGAATTGACTGTCTCGTAGGACTACTCATTTTTCTTATATAATATTTAGTACCATGTTTGTTTGACATGATATGTATATAGTCTGATCAATTTGTTGAGGAACCCATCCATGGTGAGTGATTGATCAAGTCTAAAAATTTTACACAAATATTCTGATATAATCTTTTTCTTAGTGGTTTGATCAAGTCTAACAACTATACACCAATAATCAGATAAGCTTTTGCCTGTAATATTTATACTATATTATATGAATTTAGCAGAGAGAGCTGAAAGTGAAAGTTTTTTGAGTTTTCTATTGGCTAGTAATTGCTATTTTCCTTTCTTTTGCACACACTATTTACCCTTTTTTTTTGTTTTTTGTTTTTTTTTAACTAATAAACCCCTATGAGTTGATTACAAAGTTTATATGCAGTGCAGGAGGCATGACCTTACAGAGGGCTTAAAGAAGCTACCATGCAAAACACTCATTTTTGTTGGCGATTGCAGTCCATTCCATACTGAATCAGTGTATATGAATGCTATGATGGAAAAAAAGATATGCGCTCTTGTTGAGGTTGGGCTTTCTCCTCACTTTTGATTTTCTCTCAATTAGTGTGATACATTTTTTTTGTGTGAATTTCACCTTGCTCATGCTCATCACAGTAGCAACTAAACTTACGTAACAAGCTCATGGTTTTTTTTTCCCTCGTTAAGTACCCAAATACCACATAAAATATATATTCTCAATTATCTAAATGGTACAGGATTCTAAGACCAAATGTTGAAATTCTTGGACAAGAAACATTCCCCATAAGATATGTTTGGACTAATGTCCAAAACCTACCTACAAAGTTGAAACTCCAAGTGAATGTAATTCAAGAAACGGTTAGCAACTTCAGTACAACATTACTAGTTACCTATTTTGCCTCGGATCATTAGGAATAAGTTTGTATCTTTCAACTGGTTAGTTTCTTATTATGAATAATGATAATACATTGTGGGATGATTTTATTTATTTATATTTTATTTTTTTGTCTATGACAGGTTCAGTCATGTGGCTCGCTAGTGACAGAAGAACACCCATACGCAATGTTGATTCCCATTGAATTCTTTTTAATGGGGTTTGGCTTATACAGGCAACAACTACCTTTATCTGCAGCATCAAGTAATGGGTCAAACCCCGCCAAACCTCCTAGTGTGACGTATTCATGCATAGCACCAGAGCTGCTCTCCCCTGAGAGCTTAGGGATCAAGCTTAAACCTATTAAAACCCGTGCAACCATTGAAATTTGATAGAGTAGAAATGCCTCTCTCCCTGCTTCACCTCATTTAATCAGTGTTGCATATTTTGGCAAGCCACAGAAGCAGAACCACAGCTTTGCATGTAAATATACAACCATGTAAAGTATATAATGTCTTCATGGTAACACATTCTTTGATTGGTTTTTGTGCTCAGAGGGAGAGGATTTTTGTGTTCAATTAGGTTTCAGTGAATGATTAATCAAGTGTAGATAAAGCAGATGAGAGAGATTGTAGTTGGGTAGAGATATTCTTTTTGAGCATGGCTTAAATGTTTGCATACATTGGTGATGACTACTTTGTAAGTTTAACTGTTCGTTTATAATAAAGTCCTTTTATAGAAATGAGGGGAATTCTTATATTTAAATGTGGTTTGGTAACGTCCCCTCTTCACTCCACAGCTAAAAGCCGAAATAACAAATCAACGCAAATAATAATAATTAGGTGTGTGCTATAAAGTTAGCAGAAATGTTTATTTTCTTATTTTTTACTACTAGAAAAAAATTGTCCAAAATGTCATGTCTCGAAATTTAAGTAATTAAATAAGAGAAAACTAATTAACCTAAGTGTAATTACTTAATAAAAGTCCTCTTTTTATCCTTTACTCATTTCTAAAATTGCACCTTCAACATTTACCTCAATTCTCCAACAATCAATGTTTTAAAAACCGGACCGGTGAGCGAACCGGAAAAGGGATCGAGTGGACGGGTTACCGGATCAATCGTCGGGTTGAACCGGAATCGAACCATAACGTAATAAATATATTAAAATTATATTTAAATAAAAATATAAGTAATAAAATTATAAATTAAAAATATTAAATTATCTTAAATATTTGTCCTAATATTTTTTTATTGAGAAATATAATAATATATTTTAAAATATTATTAATTTTAATTTTGGAAGAGGAAATCAAATATTTAATATTCCCTCTATATGATTTTAATTCAAATAATTAATTGAAAGGAGAGCAAAAATTTTGGAGAGATATCAAAATTTCAATATTCCCTCCAATATATTTGATTGAATCCCATATAGATTTCTTGAATTTTTTTGAAAGAATTTTTTTCTTATAAATAGGTGAAAACTTTCACAATAATTTCATCAAGCTCTTAATGGGATTTCTCACAAGAGGAGACCCTTGAAAGAGAGTTTCAAATTTAAATTTTCTTATATTCTTATATTATATATATATATATATATAATAAGAAAAAAAGAGAAAAGAAAAAAAAAATAAAAATAAAAATCAAAAATAAAAATTCCAAGTCGATCAACCCGGCGAACCGGCTCCAGGTCGACCGGTTCGCCGGTTCAACCGCCGATTTTCCCGATTCTCTCTAAATATGCCGGTTTTTAGTTTTGACCGGTTTAAAGGGTATATCTGGACCGGAACCCTGACTGGTCGACCGTTCAACCGGTTCAACCGGCCGGTCTGGTCCGATTTTCAAAACCTTGCTAACAATTGAGTTATATCATATAATGGCATTTAATTTCCAAGACAAAAGTTCATTCATTTACAACTGGAGTTCATTTGGAAAGTAATTATTTTAATTAATTTTCTAATATTTATAAAAAAATCATGTAAAACAAATAGAGAAATGTGATTGAAGTGTTTTGACTTTAAGACTATTTTAATCAAAAAGCTAACAGCCAAACATGGACTCTCGTATCCATTCTCACAAAGTTGAGCCAATTCCCAATCAGATAGACGAAGTGCAGGAGGTACCAACTTGAATGCTATAGGGTCTTGCTATGGTTACATTCAAATGCACCATACATCCAATTATGAGTCAGTGATTTTGGTTATAAAATGTGTAGTGTTACGGTTATGAGATGCGTGGCGGTTATGAAAAATGCAATGTTAGTATTTTTTTTTTCCTCAACATTTTGTTATTGGCAAATTACACTTTATCCCTTTCAACTATCATCATTTTTTATTTTACGCCTCTCAAACTAAAAATTGAGACAATGTACTCTCTTTATTTTTTGAAAATTTTCAATCTCATCCTTATGTTTCTATTTTGTTAACAAACCAAAAGAAAAATATGCATGTAAAGTGCACATATCATATTTATGACGAAAAATACCTTTTAAAGATTGAATGTATATATGGAAAAAAAATAAAATATGAAGAAATTGTATAGTAGTTAATCAGTGACACATTACCCTACCAATAATAAGGAAATCACATTCTTATTTAACAAGCACTCACTAGTTTGATTTATTCTTAAATATAACCATTATAAATAACTTGCAAACATCTTTCGAAAATTTGCATGATTGGCACACAACTGAGAAGGGAAAACCTTCTCCTCTTTATTCAACTCATATGATACAAATATTACATTTAGTTACCAGTCATTTCAGCACATGATGATAACATTATTTATAATTATAACATGCTTACTAATTTACAAGGGGAAGCTTCCCGTAGGGAAAATTATTTATTACACACTGCCACATGAAAGACATTAATACTCCACACACTACTCCAAAAGATATCATCGTGTATGACTGGGTCGCAGATCGCAACTTCTTAGGCTAGTGACGCCGTTCCTTTCACATCTACGCAGTTGTTCACATCATCAGGAGTAGATGTCATAGATGAGATGCAACCATTCCATTCAGATGTGCTGGTGGTGCCAGACTTCATCAACTCTTTATGGACATCATGCCAAATAGGGTCCTGGGTGTCTGCCGGATAGTAACCACCTTCAGCAATCGCAGTAAAGACCTACAAGTATATTAAAGATTTGTTTTTTCAAAAGTTATATTCAAACATATGTAAAATGGTTATGTGCATCCACATTTTGAAATTTATAATGACCACATTTTTTTTACCATATTTTGTTTACCGTCTTATATGTCACATTGATAACAAACATGAGTACATGAAATCAATACAATATTTGACACGTAATAAAATAAAACAAATAATGATTAGAAAATATGATTATTCTCACGTTATCACCTTGTTTGATTCTAATTTTCGAACTCAAATTTTTTAAAAATTAAGTTTTTTTGATTGTCGTATTTTTTTTTAATGTTTTAAGTAAATTTTTTACTTTTTAGATGCATCTAATCTAAATGTACCTAAAAAGTATAATATTTGTAAAAAAATATTTAAAAAAATCAATAAATATACAAGAATACGAAAATGAATTGAATTTTTATATTTTTGATATTTAGTAAATTTTTTAAAGATTTCTTTTAACAAATATTATACTTTTAAGTGTATTTATATTAGGTATATTTAAAAACTAAAAAATTTATTTCAAATATTAAAAAAAAATAGTAAAAATTTTTAAAAAAAACATAGAAAATGTAAAACTTAAAATTTTCAAAAAGTGAATTAAAATTCTGAAACCAAACCAGGATAGGTAAGGTATGTACCTTATTTTCCTTATGGATTGGGTTGGGGTTGGACCAAGAAAACATCCAATCACAGTCTTTCCCATTCTTGTTTTTGCCCCGATACACAACAGCTCCACACGATCCAGTTTTCTCTCCAGAAGTTTCCTCATGGTTAAATACACCCGGCTGGTCATCTTCTATCTTGGGTGGATATGTGCTCTCTTTAGCTAATTTCCCAGAAAAATCATGCTTGACAGAATATGCTATACTGCCCTTAGTCTTATTGCGAATATTTCCATCCGTGCGGACTCGCTGATCATTCTCCATGTACACTATCTATAATATTAATTGTTCAATCTCTTTGAAGAACTCTACAAATTGTAAGCATATATCTACATTTTTACATAGCAAGAACATAAAATTACCAAAAAGTTTCATTAATTTAGGTGTTACCTTCATCCAAAAATATCAAAACATGAGTTTTTAATTGAGCCGGTGGTGACCGTGACACAGTGAGGGATTTCAGGTATCAAACCAATCTTATATATATATAATTTATATACACATTGTATATGCTTTGTAAACATAATGCATTTTAGTTTAAAATCACGAGGGATTGTCTACCTATTCTTGAAGGGGCTTTTCCCATATTAAGGCCCCGTTTGGGGACTTACCTTTTTAACAAAAAAGCCAACAACTCATACAAAAAAGTCAAAGATTCTCTTTTCTCTCTACTTTTTGCACATCTTTTCGTAATTAGCCAAAAAGTCATTCCAAACATATAAGTTTTTTTTACCTACTTTTTTTAGCCAAATAGCCAAAAAGTTACTAAATTAGCCTGTTCCCAAACGAGGCCTAAGCCTCTTTTGCATCTTATTTTTCAAACTAGGTCTAGTTTGGACGGATTTTTCAAATTAGGTTAAAGCGCTATTACGAATCGCGCTTTCACTGTTTGAAGCCCAAAATTTGATGAATAGTGAAAGCGCTATTGTAAAACACGCTTTTAATTAAGAAATCGCTGTTTCAAATCGCGCTTTTAACATAAAATTTTTTTCTGAAGAAAACGCTATTTGAAATCGCGCTTTTACTGTGCATATAAATTTTTTTTTTTTAGAAAACGTTATTGAATATAGCGTTTCTACTGTTGAAACATAAACCAAAACCAACCCACACTCTGACACACACACACCCACAACACTGAAGCATTGAAATAATATAATTTTTATATATAATAAAAATTTATAATAATCAATTATATAATTTTTATAATTTTCGTAAATATAAATCATTTTTAGGTTATAGATGGTTTGATTTATAATACGTATGTAAGGGTAAAAATTTTTATAATCAAAAATAGCCTCCGTTTGGGAAGTGGGTTAGCTTTTTGGCTTTTTTGGCTATTTTAGCCTGGGCTTAAAAGCTTGGTTTGGGAAGGACTTTTTGGCTTTTTTTGAGTTTTTTTGTGAGAGAAGAATGTAATGATTATGGGTTGGATGTGATGTTTTGTTTGTTATGTCTAAAATAGCCTATTTTGTTTTTTGTGGCTAAAATAGCTAAAAAGGCCTGCAAACCCACTTGCCAAACACAGGCTCAATATATAATTATATAAAAATGATATATATAATACATACGTATCAAAAATAATTTATTTAAAGTAAATATATAAAAATTATATATATAATACATACGTATTATATATAATTTATTTAAAGTAAATACATATGTATTATAAATTATTATAAAATTTTTTATAATACATACGTATTATAAATTATTTTTGGTAATTTATAAATTATTTTTGATTATAAAAATTGTAAAAATTATTTTTGATTATAAAAATTTTTACCTTTACATACGTATTATAAATCAAACCATCCATAACCTAAAAATAATTTATATTTACGAAAATTATAAAAATTATATAATTGATTATTATAAATTATTATTATATATAAAAATTATATTATTTCAATGTTTCAGTGTTGTGGGTGTGTGTATGTGTCAGAGTGTGGGTTAGTTTTGGTTTGTGTTTCAACAGTAGAAACGCTATTTGCAATAACATTTTCTAAAAAAAAAAAATTTATATACACAGTAATAGCGCGATTTCAAATAGCGTTTTCTTCACAAAAAAATTTTATGTTAAAAGCGCGATTTGAAACAGCGATTTCTTAATTAAAAGCACGTTTTACAATAGCGCTTTTACTAATCATCAAAATTTGGGCCCCAAACAGTGCAAGCGCGATTTGTAATAGCGCTTTAGCTTAGTTTGAGAAATCCATCCAAATTAGACCTAATTTAAAAAATAAGATGCAAAAGAGGCTTAATATGGGAAAAGCTCCATTCTTGAACCTTAAGGAGGTAAAATGCTCCCTCCTTAAATCATAATAGAGTAAAATGAATTGTACAGTTTATTGCATGTAGGGAGAACTACAACTGGTAGTGAATGAATAATAGGTGTTATGGAAATTTAAATTGTTGTGTTGGGTGTAGATTTAAATTAATGTATTGTAATTATATACAGAATGAATCTTATTCTCATATTACAATTCTAAATAAAATTATGAGTAAATTGTCCAAGTAAATTATTGATATATGTAGCACCACAGGTAATAAATTTATAGAAATAAACTTTGCTATAGCGCATACATTCTTAATATTGTTAATTTTTTGTGCTAAGTTTGACTCAATGTTTAGTTATAGCTATTATTTGACAACTCTCTTTGCTTCTATATATACATATGGCATTTCTATTTGATATTTGAAAAATATTTGGGAGCATTAATTAGTGCTCCCACTAATTATGTGGCAGTGGGTCCCGTCATTATAATGTGATGTTTTGGTCTTAGAGTTGTATTTTTTTTTTTTTTACTTTTTTAATGCATTAGTGCTATTAGTGGTGATGTTTTTAGTGGGATGAATCATTGTTGTTAATATTTTGTTAGAAAAATAAAATAAATAGTAATATTTGCACTATCAGAGGAACATTACTAAAATATAATATTTTGATAATACTCATTGTTAAAGATAACAATAGTTAATCATTTAATTGTCGAATCGTTAGGGATGTTCTAACACACATTAAGAAAAATTAATGGGAATTTGAAATCTTACAATAAAATTTAATATAAATTTTATATTAATGATTAAAAAAATAATTAATCTCATCAGAACGATGTGATAATAATATTTTTAAATTTATAAACTATTTTAATGAATCGTTTGATTAAAAATGGATATATATAAATTTATCATGTTATTTTGTGTACATTTTTTATATTTATATATTACTAACGAACTTACAGATGCTTTTTATGAAAGAAATGATGTGTAAGCACTAAACAAACAAGTATATATAATGACACAAAATATGATAACAAAATAAAGATCACTCATAGGAATAAGGTAAAGTTTAATACATAATTTATACACAAAATATTTTAGAGGAAAATACTTACAGAGAGTGTTTGAAGGAGACTACTCGAATGTTAACACAACACACACTCTATAGACCTTACTACAAGGGCCTTTATATAGACTTTACTACACGGATTCGAAATGGTGTTAAGTCCGTGGATTTTATTTGAAATATAATAAATTTTATTATAAATAAATGAGAAATTTACTTATAAATCTCATCTTGAAAATGATGATCCGATTAGTTTCAAAATTTTTTTTATAGACCAATTAATCCCATTGATTTTAAAAAGGTAAATTTAATATATTATTTAAAAATTAGATTTACAGTTATACCTTTATTTCTATTATGTTTTTTTTTCTTCTTTTGTGTTAGAAATGTAAGATACACAACCTATGATAATTAAATTTGGAATGAGTTTTTATATAAGAATTTTTTTTATTTGGAATGATTTGAGATATGAAATTCGTTAAACATATTTCAAAAGGAGTACAAAAACTCCTTAGTAAGTTTCAAGAAAATGTGTAATTTCAATTTGTAATACTCCAATGTAACACTTTAATGTAGCATTTCAAAAAAAAAAAAAAAAACTCCTTATTATACTTTTTCCAAACGTAACATTCTTAATCACTCAAAAAAAACTCTTTAGTGTAACACTCTAATGTAACAAAAAAAAAAAAAATCTTTAGTATACTTTTTCTAAACATAATATTCCAATGTAACACTTCAAAAAAAGAAAAAGATGTTAGATTCTTCAAATCAATCTAAAAGGGTGTGGAATTCTTCAAATCATTGTAAAAAGGTGTAAGATTCTTCAAACCATTCCTAAATGAAGGCAAAGATTCCTTAGCAAGCTTTGGGTAGATGTATAATTTCAAATGGAAAGCGTTACGTTTGGCAAAAATACACTAGGTTGTTTTTTAGGATTTTTATGTATGTTACATCAGAGTGTTACGTTTGAAATTACATTGATTATAGTTGTTTTTTAGTATTTTTATGTATGTTAAATTAGAGTGTTACGTTTGAGATTACATTGATTGGAGTGTTACATTTAGAAAGAGTACACTAAAAAGTTGTTTTGCGTGTTACATTGGAGTGTGTTACATCAGAGTATTACGTTTAGAAAAAATTCGAATTGTTACACTGTTACATTTGATAAAAGTATACTAAGAAATTTTTTAATATATTATATTAAAGTGTTACGTTATTAGAGTATTATATTGGAGTATTACGTTTTTATTTGTAATGTGGGATTTGTTCCAGGATGTGGAAAAATCCAAAACCTTTATAGTGTGGATTACTCAAATGTGTAATTTCACATTTGAAGAAACTCACTTTTATATCTAAAAAATCAAATCCAAATATGTAAGTGACTATCATTTTGTATAATTTTCACTTTAATAAGACTTTGAGTTCATAAGAAAAAAATAGGAAACTAAACCGTTCACAAAATTATATTTTGAGATTTATTAATATTTCATCCCAAATAAATACTACTTTTAGTTTGTTAACAAATATTACAAAAAGAAAGGAAGCTAAGGCCAAGTTTGAGATGTTTCAAAAAAGCCAAAAAGTCAAAAAGTTACTCAAAAAGTTAAAAAGTTAACACTATTCACCAAAAGTCAACAATTACGGCTGCACAACTCCCAATTCAAATTTTTCCCTTCAAATCAATTTTTACAATTTTTTATTACACATTTTCCAATAAAAAGTCAAAAAGTTAACCCAAACATCCATATTTTCAACCTCAATTTTTTAGTCCAAAAAGACAAAAAGTGCACTTATTTAGTCTTCCCAAACTTGGCCTCTCTCCCTGTTGGAGGCGATTAAACAAGTACCTTTCTATGCTAAATTTTTAAAGGACCTTTGTATGCAAAAGTGTAAATCTAGGACACGTGTTTGAAAAGGTCGTACTCACGGAGCAAGTAAGCTTCATCTTATTGTGTGACGCACCCCTTGAGCTTAAAGACCCGGTGCCCCAACCATTGCATGCATTATAGGATAACAAGCCCCAAGGCATTACTAGCCTAGGGCTGATAGTAGGCCCCAAAGTTTATTATCTTGGCGCTAATAGCAGGCCCTAAGGCTTACTAGTTGGAGTTGATAGCAGGCCTAGAGATGCAAATATACCGCAATAACCCCATGAAGGTGGGAGCAGGGAAGCCCGAATGCAAGGGACTCTATTTTCCATTTACCCAGGTTATGGACTTGCCATGGTTGCACAAGCAAGACCAAGGAAGCCCCATTGGGCTTGGTATTAAGGCGTAAGATAGCTGATATCAAGCTTGGTTGTGGCCTTCGCCTTGGGAAGCTAGGGAGTTTATGGTTAGGTAGCTAAAGGTGGAGGCTTTGCTGAGGTGAACACGAATATAGCTGATAGTAAGCTAATGGAGTCTTGAGAATGCATGTATTGGCTAAATAAAATTGAGAAGGCAAGTTAAGCAGCAAGGTTTACCACTGTAAGTGCACTTGCTGAGGTTCAAGCTGAGAAGGCAAGTGCATCGACAAACACTCCTGTCACAACTATACTTGCTAAGGCTCAAAAAATGAGTTGCAACGCCAAACACTCTCATCGTAACTACACTTACTGAAGCTCAAAAAGGTAACTGCAGAGGCAAACATATAGTACACAGTACATGCAAAGGGACACGTGGCACCTTTAACCTAGTGGCTCAAGGCAGAATATTCTATGTGATCCTTAAGGACACCTGTCTTTTCTCTATTTGGTCACTTGGTGTCCTTTTGGTACCAAGAAAAAACCTATGAATAGAACCCATTTCCCAAGGTCCAAGGAGAGGAATTTTGGGATTTGGGGGGGGAGATGTTGCCCATTTGTACATTATCATTGTCTTCTTCTTAAGCTACTTGTTTCATCCTCACCCAGCTGCTCACTCTCTAACTTCCCAGACAGTTAGAGTTACTGTTGCTACTTATTCTCCAGTCATTCCATCATTCTTGGACCATTAACATAGTTTTATCTCTCTAATTACCTTCCTAACCTCAAACCTCCCTACACATAGATACAACCCAATGATATAGATATGATTAAGATTGTCTCTAGTTTAAGATCAGATTGGAGCATTGTGGTGCTTGTGGGCAGTAACGGAGCTATGAAGGACCTGGAGGGGGGCACATGCCCCCTCTCAGTTTTTGCATTTTTTTTTTTTGGCATATAAGAAAAATAATTAACCAATAAAAAATTATATAGAAATAACATTTAGAATGATTTCTTAATGACATTTTTCAAATTACAAAAATAATATGGTTATTTTGATTGAAAATGAAAAAATTACAACAAACCACATTATTAAAAAAATTTAGTGCAACGGTGATATCAAATCGTCACTTACATGTAAACATAGTTAGTCCTATTACGAAAATGAGAAATTATTGAATTATTAATTATATTTGATAAGTGGTATTGACCTTCTATTCGTTAGATTATATAATAATAATACTATATATCGATGATGATGTGGTATCACTATTATTTATACTATTATCATATAATCAATCATAAGACATACAAAACTCTTTTGTATTGCCTATATAAGTAATATTATATATTTTCAATTCTGATTTTTCATAAGATCAATTATAAAAACAAAAATTTTAAAACTTTTATATTAATATTTAAGATTTTGTACTTCATATTAATTTAAAAATTATTATCTATTACTATTGGCTATGAAGAAAAAAAATTAAAATTTTAATTAACAAGTATCGTTGTAAATTATTTTTGTGGCTCTGCCAGTGCGCTCAACAACCAAGACTTTTATTCTCACACTATATATATAATAATAATAATAAACAAATAAATAAATAAATAATACGTATGCATTTTTTTTTTAAAGTTAATTACAAAAACACCCCAAGATTTCACGCATTCTTCATTTTAAATTTTAATATTTTGATTTTGACAAATTAAACCTTAGAGTTTCCATCTGTATTTCAATCTGCCCCTCCTTCCATTTTCATCTGTGTAAGGCAGCGGAAGGGGTTTAAAGTAAAAAACACTGGAGTTTAAAGTGAAAAATGTGTAAAATCTTAAAATTTTTTGTGTAATTAACAATTTTTTTAAAATTAAGATCACTAAAAACAAAAAAAGGGTTAATTACAAAATAAATTCTAAGATTTCACATGTTTTCACTATAAACCCTACTGTTTTTCACTTTAAATCTCCTCCGTTATATAACACATACGGAGATGGACGAAATGGGCAAATTGAAACACGGATTGAATTTCAGCATTTAATTTCTTAAAATTGAAATACTGAGATTTAAAGTAAAAAATGCGTGAAACGTTAGACTTTTTTTTATTTATAATTAATTCTTTATTTTTCTCTCTATTATGGAAACGGAATAAATATCCATGTTGAATCAATTTTGAATAAGCACCCTAATTTTGTGAATTATTGCATTTGATCATCGTCATCATACAGTAGATTGGGGATGGACTTAAGATTACAACGGATTGGTTTGGGAAATGGGTTGACTTTTTGACTTTTTAATTTTTTTGGCTATTTTAGCCTGGGCTAAAAAGCTTGGTTTGGGAAGGTCTTTTTGACTTTTTGACTTTTTTGACTTTTTTTTGTGAAAGAAAAGTGTAATAATTATGGGTTAGATGTGATATTTTATTTTTTATGGCTAAAATAGCCTATTTTGTCTTTTGTGGCTAAAATAGTCAAAAAGCCCACTTTAGCTCTTCCCAAACGGACATGTGTTACAAAATTTTGGAAGGGAAATTGTTTCACAATTTATCAGTTAAAACGATATTGTGTTGGACGCTATTTCATATTATTAAAATAAGTAGTTTTGTTAAATTTGGTTTGATTTTTTTTTTAATTTTATGCATTGACCCTTATGTTTCATAGATGAAAAATGTTATAAACTCACCTATATGAGCACAAAATAATCTTCTCGTATAATCCTGTTGACCAAGTTTGCACTTCTCCAAACGTCGTTGCTTTGCTACCTGAAAACACAAACGTGAGCTAGCTGGCAGGTGTGTGCCGGAAACCTCTCCGATGCCTAAGTCAGCACAATAAACAATAGACGCAAAAGTTCTATGTATTCGAGAGTCAGAA